CGGCAAGCCACTCCCACAAAGGAGGCCACACCCACAGAGTAGGTTCCAAAATTTTTTGAAACCCACCACTGTTAATAAAGTACTATATGTAAAGGGATTTTGACAATATTAATGTTATGCAGCTTTTTATTTTTACATTTCTTTCCAGGTTCGAGGTTCAGTTGCTGATTTTGTTATTTAGATAATGTTGAAGTTTATGAATGTATAGAAGGCTAAGTTTTAAAAAAGTCTTACAAGCAAAATGCAGCTCTGAATAAAATTGCAACTGTCCTCTGTGACTCTTACAAGTTTGCTATTACAGAAAACTCTCTTCCTTGAAGCACATTTTCCCCTCCCATGTACTTTCCATGGTAATAAGAACTTTCTCCAAGTTCTTCCTTTTTATCTCCCCCCATTTCAGAAAGATGACAAGCACTAGTAGGTAAAAAAGGCTTTTTCAATCCTGGCTTACTTCCCCAAGGAGGTTTACACCAACATCACAATCTGCACTTAACTATTACTTTAGTTGTCACATTGGAATATAGATTTTCTTCTAAAATGTCATTGAATGTAATGTTACATATATTTTGTTCTGGTGTCTTACTTAATTTTTATTCTAGGACTTCATACATTTTATTTAATATTAGCTGCAATGCATAATTATTGAAAAAAATTGAAAGGTAATAAATCGTATAAGTAAATGAGGGATTAGTATAAATATTGCATGGTTTTTGAAATAACCAAGAATCAGGTGTATTTTCTCTCTTATCCTTCTATATGTCAAAATCTTAGTCTAAGTAGATCTGGCAAAACTGTTTTGTGTATACTGCATCCTGAGAATTAACTATCCTTATTGTTAACAAGAAAAGCCAGTATGATATTCTGGTTAAGGTGCTGCAAAACCCAAGTTCTAGTCTTCCCCTAGGCATGGAAATCAACTGGGTGACTTTGGGACACTCATTCTCTCTTCAGCTGTACACTGGAGAACTTGGGGGGGGGGGAATGCCGAGGTGGCGCAGTGGTTAGGGTGCAGTACTGCAGGCCACTTCAGCTGAACTGTTATCTGCAGTTCAGCGGTTCTAATCTCACCGGCTCAAGGTTGACTCAGCCTTCCATCCTTCCGAGGTGGGTGAAATGAGGACCCAGACTGTTGGGGGGCAATATGCTAACTCTGTAAACCGCTTAGAGAGGGCTGAAAGCCCTATGAAGCGGTATATAAGTCTAACTGCTATTGCTATTGCTAATGCCTACTAACACTCTGATCTGGATTGGCTTCCTATTTACACAAAAATAATATTTTCATTTGGTAAATCATGGAGGTTCTTCTCTTGCAAGCCACAGATTTGGGAGTTACCTGGTTGACATCTCCGCTACATGAAATATCTTAAGAGCTTGTCTCAAGGTGTATGTAAGAGAGAGGCTAATTTTGTATTTCTTGGCTTTTTGTTTTGATGAAGGTAAAAATGGAGACCTCCTCCCTACCACCGAAGAGGCAGAGGAACTGGAACGGGCCTTGCAGGCTGTAACTTCTCTTGAGTGCCTGAGTACTATTGGTGTGCTCACTCAAACAGATGGCGTACCAGTTCAGGAACTATCAGACAGAGGGATAGGGGTGTTTTCCCCAGGTGCTGAATCTTCAGGAATCCAATCTTTGAGCCGAGAAGTCAATGCAGATCTAGGTGAGCTGCTGAACGGGCGCATAGTGCACGATGACAATTTCTCTGGCCTGGATCTCGATGAGAACTTGCTCCATTCTGCTACCTTATCCAACCCGTCTACGCCCCTGGCAGGGCAGATTCAGGGGCAATTCTCTGCCCCAGCCAACGTTGGCCTTACTTCGGCTACTCTGATAAGCCAGAGTGCGCTTGGGGAGAGAGCCTTCCCGGGACAGTTTCAAGGACTTCACGATGGCAGCCATGCCTCCCAGAGGCCACACCCTGCCCAGCTGCTAAGCAAGGCAGATGACCTAATCACCTCACGACAGCAATACAGCAGTGACCATTCACACTCCTCACCCCATGGAAGCCATTATGACAGTGAGCATGTGCCATCACCTTACAGCGACCATTTAAGGTCCCCCAGCTCCACCTCTTATTCTAGCGATAACTTGGCAGCTACTTTCTCCACTGAGATGCCCATCATAGCACAGCATCTGCTCCCGTCGCAACTGGAGGTGCCGCTTAGCGGGGTGGTGAACCCCAGAACTCACTGGGGGAGTCTCCCTGTAAACCTCGGTGACCCTTCCCCCTTTAGTAACCTGCTCGGTGCCGATGGACACCTCCTCTCCACTTCCCTGTCCACACCGCCTACCACGTCGCACTCAGAGACCACCCAGCCGGCCTTCGCCACCGTGACCCCCAACAGCTCGAGCGTGCTCCCGGGGTTACCGCAGACCAGTTTCAGTGGCATGGGCGCTGCGTCTTCTGAACTCATGGCCTCCACTTCTCCTAAGCAGCAGCTCCCGCAGTTCAGCGCCGCCTTTGGCCACCAACTAAGCTCCCACAGCGGCATCCCCAAGGACCTGCAGCCCAGCCACAGTTCCATAGCTCCTCCCACTGGCTTCGCGGTAACAGGTGCCACAGCTACAAGTACCAATAATGCATCGGCTCCCTTCACCACCTCCAGCTGAGTTTGCCTGCCTGCGAATGACAGGCAGATTGGGGTACCTTACATAACCATCATTGCATCCTCCACCACCACCTTTTCTCTTCCTGGTTTTTGTCACCCCCTTCTTTTTAAAGACTTTTTTTTTTAATTTAAAACAAAAAAAAAGAGGGGCGAACGTCCTGATTCAGTACAGACCAGAGTTTTCCCGTTAAGCTCTGTTCTAATTTATCCTATGTGCTGTTCATGTATTGGTGCTCATCTATTTCTGGCAGGTTGCTGTACTTACCCAGCTAATACCCAGCTAGGGGAATACAGCACAGATACTGGATGTCATTGATTTTAGTCAAAAGGAAGGTGTAAGGTAATTGACCTTAGAATCAGAAATGAGAAGATACCTCAAATAAAACAAATTGCAAGTTCCTAAGGTTCAGATTGGACTCTCAGTCCCGCTGGCATCTGGGGAAGGAGAAGGAAATTGCTTTATTTTTTGAAGGTGTGGGTGGGATGAAAGTCAGCCTTTTAAATTTGATAACTGGGCACTATAGAATTAAGACAAGACCGTAATCCAGTTGTTAATTTTGTCAGCTTAACAAGTGGGTTCTTGACCTGTGAGTTTAGAGGTGTGTTTGTATGTGTAAGTATATAGATGGATAAACGGCAATTCTTTTCTTTGTTGTCTTGAAGAAGCTCCTCAAACTAGTGACTGTTCATACCAAGATTGAATGAGAATATGAATATATATATATATATATATATATAT